AATGGTAGTTCCTATGTGTCCATTCTATGAGAACTGTATTCCAGCAACAAACCTATTTAGTTCAAATTCTGTATGAATTTTTCCTTGTCTTTTATTTTTCTGTGTATTCAGAAGTATGGCGCATGATGAGGAAACATTGGCATCACAGGTAAAAAATGAGCTTATGACACATGTGGAAACACAGGCCCCATCTGAGAACCTGGATCAGAATCTGTATCTTTTCAGAAGTACATTTTGTTGTGGTCTGCTTCACACTTGAGAAGAAGTCCGTATACTTCCAACCAGCATGACATTGCCAGCTGAAAAATATATACCACCAACTCTGAACAATGCAAATACAGCACTCAGAAATCCATATGCCTGTTTCCATGCCTTAATTTTATTTAATGTATTTATTTCTTGAAATATATTTTTGTTGATTTCAGAGAAGAAGGGAGATAGACAGAGAGAGACATCAATGAAGAGAGAGAGAATCATTGATTGGCTGCCTCCTTCACAACCCCTACTGGGGATCCAGCCTGCACTCCAGGCATGTGCCCTTGACTGGAATTGAACCTGGGACTCTTCGGTCCACAGGTTGAGACTCTATCCACTGAGCCAAACTGGCTAGGGCTATGCCTTAATTTTAAAGTTTATTTCTTGTAAAGTAAAATCTGTACCGTGAATTTGTGGACATGTGTCAGTGTCAGAAAACATATCAGAGAATGTTACTGGGGCAAAGTGATCTTATTGGGTGATTCAGGATACTCCCCTAGACCCAAACCTCTTTTAACACTGTTTTCATGTTGGGTGACATTATGAACTCATCTGGTGACCTCTTGGTAATCCTGTTTTTTCTTTCAGGAACCGGTGACCTTCAGGGATGTGGCCATAGATTTCTCTCAGGAGGAATGGGAATGCCTGGACCCAGCTCAGCAGAAATTGTACCTGGATGTGATGTTGGAGAACTACAACAACTTGGTGTCCGTGGGTAAGGATGACTTCCTTCCTGAATTCCTACTCCTCCACAGGGTTTTGTTTCCTTTATTATTTTAACATCTCTGAGGGTTATTTTAACATCTTCTGCTTTCTATGCTAGATTCTTGCTCTCAAGGAAGAAATTGGGCACTAGCTGTTTGGCTCATTGGATAGATCACCGTCCTGCACACTAAAAGGTCCCACCTTTGATTCTGGTCAAGGCCAATGCCCGGGTTGGTGGTTCACTCCCCAGTAGGGGGCGTGCAGGAGACATTCTATCAATGGTTCTCTATCGTTGATGTTTCTATCTCTCTCTTCCTCTCCCTTCCCCTCTGAAAACAATGAAAAAATATGTTTTTTTAAATGGGAACAAATTGGGGGACCTTGGGTGTTGAAAACTTTGTGACGTATATTAATTAGGAACTCAGTTTGCACACTTTACATGTTGTCTACAGTAATTAAGGTACTATCAGGTACTATTTTTAAGAGTGATGGTAAAGTTCATTGACTATGTTTCTTAGAGAGAAACATGGATCAGCTGCCTCCTGCATATTATTTTCTAAAATAATATTTTAGAAAATTATTTTCTGGAATATTCTAACATTCTACCATGTCTTCTGGCCATAGTACAAACTGGATTGAAAATGGGAAAGCCTCTATCAAAACTCACACTCCATTTTCTTTTATTTTTTGATTTTTTAAGATTTAGTTGATTTCAGGGAGGAAGGGAGAGTGAGAGAGGCATACAAACTTCAGCTGGGCATTAATTGATTTTTTTGTGTGTGCCCTGACCATTGGTGGGTATAACTTTGTGAGTTTGTGTTCTCTGTATAAATCGCCGGATATGGAACCATTGTGTTACCTGGTACTTGTTTGTAAATATTGGAAAACCCTCCATTGTGTTTTGTTAGTGGCTGCACCAGTGTTTTTATAATTTTGCTGACAGTGTATGAATGTTCTCATTTCTCCACTTCATTGGTAATACATGTCGTTGGCATCCTGTTAGGTGTTCGTTAGTATTTCATGGTGGTGTCAATTTGCATTTCTCTGATGATGAATGAGTTGAACATCATTTAATATGTCTATTGCACATCTATATTCAGATCCTTTGCCCATTTTTCAATCATACTGTCTTTTTGGTGTTAAGATGTATGAGTTCCTTATATATTTGGGATCTTTAGCTTTTGAGGATGTAACATTGCTGGGCTTTTGTTGTTGTTGTTGTTACTTGGTGGTTTCTCTGGTATGTCAAACTTATTCTTCTGTAGTCTCAGTTCTTAATTATTTTAGTTTCTTTGTTATTTCTAGGAAGATATATGCAAACCAGTATTTTTAAGAGTGATGGTAAAGTTCATTGACTATGTTTCTTAGAGAGAAACATGGATCGGCAGCCTCCTGCATAACCCCTGCTGGTGATATGCCCACAACCAAGGTACATGCCCTTGACTGGAATTGAACCTGGGACCTTTCAGTCCGCAGGCCAACCCTCTATCCACTGAGCCAAACCGATTAGGGCTGGACATTTTTTAAATTGTGTTACTTCTTTTTTCATGTTGTCTTGTAAAAGGTCTTTATATATTACAGATATTAAGTACTTATCAGATAATATATTTTGCAGACATTTTTCCCCATTTCACAGTTTGTATTGTGAACGCACTGACAATTTGCTTTATTGTGAAGTTATTTCTAAAGTATATGGGGTGTAATGCCTTTTGACTATTTTGTTTTGTTTACCTTTCCATTTAGTACTATAATAAAAAATGAAATATCATAAAAACTTTTCTATATGACCTAGCCGGATTGGCTAAGTGGATAGAGTATCAACCTGTGGACTGAAGGGTCCTGGGTTCAATTCCAATCAAGGTTGCATGAGCAGGATGGAGGCTCCATCCCCACTATGGGCCATGCAGGAGGCAGTCAATCAGTGAATCTCTTAATGTTTGTATCTCTCTCTCCTCCCTTCCCCTCTGAAAGCAATAAAAATGTATTTTAAAAAAACCAGCCGAAACTGGTTTGGCTCAGTAGATAGAGCGTCGACCTGCGGACTGAAAGGTCCCAGGTTCGATTCCGGTCAAGGGCATGTACCTGTGTTGCAGGCACATCCCCAGTAGGAGATGTGCAGGAGGCGGCTGATCGATATTTCTCTCTCATCGATGTTTCTAACTCTCTATCCCTCTCCCTTCCTCTCTGTAAAAAATCAATAAAATGTATTTAAAAAACAAACAAAAAAAACACACCAAACACATTTCTATAACTCCTCTTTTTACAGATTGAGTTATTACTAGTTTAATGTTTCAATCTTTTATCCATTTTGGTTTAATATTTGTTTATTGTGTTTAATAACAGTCCAACTGCACTCATTCCTTTATCAGTAGACATCTGAGTATCTCAACACTATCCATATATGTGAGAATATCCTTTACTTCTTTGGTGGTGTAAGCACCCATGTAGAAGATCATTTTACCTCATGCATGAGAAGTTGTAAGTAGGTTCTTTATTCTACAGTGCTTCCGTTTTGTACTTGCTGTTAATCCGCACATGAGCACATTTTTTCCATTGATTTTCAGAGAGAGTGAAAGGGTGGGAAGAAGGACAGGGGGGAGAGAGGGAAACATCGATGTGAGAGAGACACATCGACTGGTCCCCTTATGCTCATGCCTCTACCTAGGTTGCGTGAGAATTTGCAAATGAGGTATGTGCCCTTTAAGGGGAATTGAACCAGCCATCCTGAAGTGCACAGGATGATGCTCTAACCCTGAGCCACACTGGCCAGGGCCTACCGTGCTCCTTTATTTACCTGTGTCTTATTGTGTAAATGATACTTTTTGGATCACACCAGTTTTGAATTTTTTTTTTTTTTACAGAGAGGAAGGGAGAGGTATAGAGAGTTAGAAATATTGATGAGAGAGAAACATAGATCAGCTGCCTCCTGCACACCCCCTACTGGGAATGTGCCTGCAACCAAGGTACATGCCCTTGACCGGAATCGAACCTGGGACCTTTCAGTCCACAGGCTGACGCTCTATCCACTGAGCCAAACCAGTCAGGGCTGAAATATTTTTTGAAATCAGGAAGCGTGATGCCATTAAGGTTATACTGTCTCTCCCATGTTTGTTTTGGTTCCCCTGGTGTCCTGTGTCATTTCTTACCCATTTTAGGATGAGGTTTGCTAATTTTCTGAAAAGTGTCACTGGGACGTGGATAGTGACGGCTTTGAATGTTTATGTCAACCTTGGGTACTCGTGACAGCTTATACTGTTAGCATTCCAATTTAAGGTCATTGCATGTGTAGTTCATGTAATGAAATTATGTAATCACAGCCAACACTATTATTATTGATTTTATAGGAAGGGAGAAATATTGGGGGTTGGGTGGGAGGAGAGAGAGAGAGAGAGAGAGGTACATTTATTTCCCCACTTAGTTATGCATTCATTGGTGACTTTTTATTTTATTTCATTTTTTAAATTTTTTTTTTTTGGCGCCGTGATTCGGATGCGACATTGGTGACTTTGTAGTGTGCCGTGAGCAAACATCAAAGCTGCAGTGTTTTGGTATGGGGACCACACTGTAAACAACTGAGCTACTCCTGCAAGGCGAGAATGTCCTTTTCTTATCTGTAGTTTAGGCACCCTTGGTGAAGATCTTTAGACCTTTCCAGGAGAATGTCTATGTAGGTCTTTTATTCTACCTTCCTACATTATTTCTCATAATGTCTGTATCACAGGTTTTTTATTTCTTTGTTTATAATTTTTTGTTTTTTTTTATTGATTTCAGAGAGGAAGGGAGAGGAAGAGATAGTTAGAAACATCAATGAGGAGAGAGAATCATTGATAGGCTGCCTCTTACATGTCCCCAACTGGGGATCAAGTCTGCCACCCTCCCATGTGCCCTTGACAGGAATCAAACCTGGGACTTTTCAGTTCACAGTTCGGCACTCTATCCATTGAGCCATACCGGCTAGGGCTGCATTATAGTTTTTTGATAACAGAAGCTTTGAACCTTTGAAGTACGTTTTATAATCAGGAAGCCTGAAGCCTTTAATTTCATACATTCTTTTCGTTTTTAAATATATTTTATTGATTGTTTACAGAGAGGAAGGGAGAGGGATAGAGAGTTAGAAACATCAAAGAGAGAGAAACATCAATAGCTGCCTCCTGCACACCCCCCAATAGGGATGTACCTGCAACCAAGGTACATGCCCTTGACTGGAATCGAACCTCGGACCCTTCAGTCCGCAGGCTGATGCTCTATCCACTGAGCCAAAACATTTAGGGCCATACATTCTTTTCTTGATTGACTTGATTACATGGAGTCCTGTGACATTCACATTAATTTTAGAAAGAGCTTTTCTATTTCCACTAGAGGTGTCACTGGGACTTTGATAGGGATTGCTTTGTATGTTTAGGTCACTTTAGGTACTAATGACAGCTGATACTTTTATTTTAGATTTTATTGTTTTATTGCTTAAAGTATTACAAAGAGTATTACATATGTCTCCTTTTTTTCCCCGCCCTTGACAATCCCCTCGACTCCCCTACCCCCCCCAGTGTCTTATGTCCATTGGTTATGCTTATATGCATGCATACAAGTCCTTCGGTTGATCTCTTACCCTCCCCTCCTGGCCCCCAACCCTCCCCGGCCTTCCTGCTGTAGTTTGACAGTCTGTTCAAGGCTACTCTGCCTCTGTATCTATTTTTGTTCATAAGTTTATAATGATCTTTATTATCCATAAATGAGTGAGATCATGTGGTATTTTTCCTTCATTGACTGGCTTATTTCACTTAGCATAATGCTCTCCAGTTCCATCAATGCTGTTGCAAATGGTAAAAATTCCTTCTTTTTTACAGCAGCATAGTATTCCATCGTGTAGATGTACCACAGTTTTCTAATCCATTCATCTACTGATGGGCACTTAGGCTGTTTCCAGATCTTAGCTATGGTGAATTGTGCTGCTATGAACATAGGGGTGCATATATCCTTTCTGATTGATGTTTCTGTTTTCTTGGGATATAT